GCATCAGACAGTTGGAAACGAGAAGACAGGGATATCCTGGACCGAAGTGAAGAGCCTAGGGGACCTGGATTACGCGCGTGGATGATTTATGCTTGATGCCACGCAAAATCGAAGAGTTACAAGCGAAAACCGACAAACTGGTAGAAGACGCAGCCGGCGAAGACAGGACTCCAGGTGAACATAGGTAAACAAGACGGAGGTTATGAAAATAACCAACCAACCACCCAACCAACACCAACAACAGCAGAAACATCCAGCGCCAATCACCATCAACGGGAGGGATTTGGAAGATGTCACTTCATTCACTTATCTAGGGAGGGAGCATTGTCTCAACTACAGGCAGGAGAAACGGATGAGGATGTCAAATCGGGCGAGAATCGGGAGGTGAGAAACACATTCGTGAACCTGAAAGCAGTCTGGAAATCTTCATCACTCAACTCGGCATCAACAACAAAATTCAGTCGGATTTTCAATACAAACGTCAAGTCAGTCAGTTCTTCTATACGGATCTGAAACTTGGCGGGCGGGTCACAAAGAATATTTTCAACAGAATATTGCAGACCTTTATCAAGAACTGTCTTCGCTGGCTCTATACTGAAGATCAGATGGCTGGGCCGGGCCGGAAAGAATCATCAACAAGGAACTATGGGAACAAACAAAACAAGAACCAATCGCCAACCAATAAATATGCAGGAGAAAATGAAGATGGATTGGACACTCGCTGAGGAGGCCGGTTGGTGACATTGCTCGCGCGTCAGGCCATTGCTTGAGTGTAACGCGAAAGGGAAGCAGGCGGCGAGTGGGATGTCAGTGCAAGGGTGACATGGAGGAGATCGTGTGAAGAGGAGTTGAAAGAGTATGGACTAACATGGATGCAGGTGAAAAATACATCAGAAGACCGAAGCAAGTGGAGACGTGCAGTTGAAGCCCTATGTTCGACTAGGAACCCAAGGGAACAATAATAATAATATATACAGAAGTATCACTGGAGGTTTTCATTTCTGAGCCTAAAGACATAGAAAATATTTTACGTGATTATAAAGGAGTGACAGATCTATTATATTTATAGAAATATGAGGATATATTGTCTATTTCAACAACAGTACAACCGTTCACATGTTAAAGGTTTTCCTAACACCAGTGGTTCTAATTTGTCTCACTGAACAAGAAGGATGATTAATATTACCAGAATATCTCATTTCACAAAAAAGAGTTTTGTGATTAAGATAATTACCCAGGAATTTCTAAAGTATTTCGGTGAAAGTTTCCTCAGTTTCGTACGTGCCTTTGGAGTAATTACTGGCCTTTTAAATTTATTGGTTTTTAATATTTTTGATATAATGGTTGAATCTGAGCCGTCGTTATAGTTTTGGTAAAGGACACATGGAGCTGACAGGAGGCTATAGGTAGTAAATTGTGTTTCCAATATAATGTACTCTATAACTGACCGCACAGGGCAACTGTTTAAGGTTCTGTGGTTGCTATGCGTTATCTGTTGTAGAATTTCAGTATTGACTGGAGTGCTACTTAAATGAAATGGCGTTAAGTAAAATTCTGTTTTGTGGTTACTTCTTGAAAATACGTATACGACAAAGTCAATGCACTGGATTATTTTGTTGCAAAATACGAAGTCTAGTAAGTTACCGTCTCTTATAACGGTAATAATGACTTGTATTTCATAATGACTGAAAAAGAGAAAGACTTTGTTTTATTGGTGATTAGGTGTTTAATGTTAACAGCTTTCTCAAAATAATAGTAATCTAGAATTTGCTAAATATCAGCGTATATATGTTAACTGAAACACCTTATTTCTTCCTTTACGTTCCCAGTGGAACATAGGGCTTCAAGGTAGAGGTATGCACTTTGAGTAGCAGTGGTACTTATTTTTACAAGACGAGGTTGCTAGCCTAGTGCTTGACCTTCCTCATTTTCCTGTCTTTTTACTGGCTTAGTGAGGTAAAGGAGTATGTTGGCTGGGAATCGAAGCTCGGACCACATGCGTGGTTGGCGTGCATTCCACCGCTCTACCACCGACGCATAAGTAGAATGTACTTTAACTCTATAAAATAACTCAGTGTTGTGCAATAAGTTTATTAATAAAGATAACAGGTATTTTTAGACCGTTTAATTAGGTAATTATGAGAATTATAGAAAAAGACTTTGTTTGGTTAGTGAAGAATTTTCACAATATTTGTGTTTACAACGTAAATGTGTAGGAGGTCAGAATTTGTCCTAAATAGTCATTCCAGTTTACACAATTTTCATTCCACCTTATGTGAAGTGGAACTGCTATGAGTTATTTATTATCGTTAAGAGTTTTCTTTATTATTTCAATATAGTCAAAGTCAGCCTTGCGACTTAACTCTACTGGGAGTAAAACAGAGTCTGAAGATCTTCAAACTTTTGAAATTCTGCTTTATTTGCTTACAGTCGAATAGATCTACGTTGTTTTTATCATCTTAATTTCTTCAGAAGGCTGCTGGATGTATACTGTACCAAAGTTTCATTATCTTAATTCATAGACGCAGTTACAGTGTAGATCCTTGAGGGTTTAGTTATGTCGCTGAAACGTTACACATAAGAAAGTCTTTTTACTTATTTATTTTATTCTTTTGCATACCTAATGGAAATAAGGCCTCAAGTTACAGCTTTGAAGTGATGCTTTTTTACGGGATTGCGTCGCCAACCTCACTCCTAAGCTTCTGTCTTCACCGAGCTTGCTACCGGTTGAGCGAGGTAAAGAAGTACGTCAACCGGGAATCGAAACCCGGACGACTTGCTTGGTTGGCCACTGCTCTACCACTGAACTAAACCAATCTTATTAAACATAGTGTTCTCGAGTATCCACTTAGGCAGCGTATTACCTAACTTACTCGTACACGTATAACAAAGCAAGAATAAAAAGGTCCCAGTCATCTAGATGCATGTTCTGATAGACAACAGAGAATATAGTAGGGTGAATGTTAAGATTATCTGAGGAAAAGATTTGAGGAATTTATTTATTTAGTGTGACTGAGATACTCTAAGCACAAAATGAAGGGCGAAATGACGTCTGAGCGTAGTTAGATGAGTGGCTACTAAAACGAAACTCGAAACAATTAAAGCATGTGTAGATGGTTTTAGTATTCTATAGGGTTCATATCGAGTTAATTCAGTTTGGTTTATTCGTTTTAAGGCTAGGTATATTTTGGTGTTGTGAAAGTTGCTGTACAATACCTCTGTATTTCGTGTTTCACAACGATATACATTGGTATGATGAAACATACAGTGCTAAAATTCACTTTTCTGAATAATTTTCTTTTGAATCATTTGACAACAGTATACCTGACAAACATTTTATTCTAAAGTTTTAGGAATGATATAAATTATTCTTCAATCATTATAGACTTTCAGTGACCTGACTAGGTTAACAGAAGTAAAAACTTAGTGAATCATAAGTTAACTATTTAAACTCAACATAACTATTACATGAAGCCTTTTAACGTGGATTGTTTCCTTGTAGTATTAATCTTTATAATACGAACACATAAGAAGGCAATTTTAACAGTTTTACAGTAAGTTATCAACATTCTGGTTTGAGAGTTTCTTGCATTTTAACAGTCGACTTGTGTATATTATGTGTCTGATATGAAATATGAAAAGTGACGATTACTTGCTGTTAAGTCAAAATATCTGGAGCAGTTCGCTTAGCGATACAGAGGTCATTTTTGTAAAAGAATACATTTTTACTGAATGATCTTCACAGTGGTCTGTGTCGATACATTGACTTATCAATGGTACTAATGGTTGAATTTATGGGTAATAAGAATATTACTTCTGATTACAATAGGCATTTATGACTTTGAAATGACCGAAGTAAAACTTTGTTTTGTGTGCTGCACGCTTAATTCAATTTAAGTTGTTTCATGTGTCTGATATAAGTTTATAGGAACCTGTTTTATCAGTTATCCTGAACACACTTTTCTTATTGAATTTTGAGGTACACTGATTTTTAGTTCCGCCTATTACTGTGAAATAAATAACGTAGAAGTGTAAGTATGAACACTTTTCAAAGTTAACCGATCTTAAACAGGTTGATTTAAGTCGACTGTCGAAATAATGATGCACACATTAGTTTGAATACCGTTTTAATTGTCTACGACGTTTTACCACGATATTCATGAGATTTTTGACGATGGAAAGCATGAATAAAAAAAATTGTATTTTAAGTGAGTCTTTAGGAGAACGTTTTATCTTATCAGAGCGATATTATCATGACTGGAACACCTGTCATCACTTATATTTATGCAAGTAATTCATATGTTTAATTAGATGAATCACGTTCTTTATGAGTACTAGGCCAAATGATGTGTTGTTTTAGAGCAAGAAGTTAAAAGAAACATGATATAATGGTCAATGAGGTGTTCTGAATCGACCAGGATCATCCGGATCTTATTTCATAGTAATATATGCCTAATTTATTTAAAAAAATTAATATTAACGTGCTTAGATGAAAGTGTTTCGAAGAATTTCTTGTTTAACCGTTCACTTCATCCATTAGTTTTTGGCAGAACTTTTCAGTTGAATACTTTAAAAGCTGTGATATATATATGCATACTGTTAGAAATGTATCAGCACCATTCAGTTTGCGATCTCTGATATTTCCAGATTGTTTCCCTAATAACCAACTGTTTACCAAAGTCATTTTACTGAATCGTGATCTATTATGATCTGAATTTTTGTCTCTTGTACTCCTTTCCCCTTATTGATTTGACACTAGTAATTGTCTTTGTCACGATTAATTTACTGTAGTTTATTAGTTTATCATTTATTAGTCAGGAACCCCCCAATGTATTTTGATATAATAGATATATATTTCACTATATGGAATATTTAACTGAAGATTTCTACCAAAATCTAATGAATTCATTAAATCCTAAGGGGATAATAAAATACTTCACTATATTGAGTCTGAATATATAAGGTATCCAGAATGGTTGTTTAAGTTCAGTGACGTTAGAGGGACAGTAATAACTCGTTGGTTTTAACTAATAAATATTTAGATTTAATTTAGCTTTTTATTATTAAACAGAATTTGAAAAATGCAAAGTCGGTAGCTTGTTTCATAGTCATGTACTTTGAATCTGTCTCCGAGTAACTGAGCATGATATTTATGTCTTAGTTTGTGCAAAAGATGTATATAGTGAATAGATAAATATGAGTAAACAGTGGCATACTTTGAGCGTCTATAGGGTAAACTTCAATCATCTTGTTACACATACAAAAGGCTTGGCGTCTGGCCATGCAAAAAATTTAATCGATATTACCGGAAGATATAACTAATATCTATCCACCCACACATTCACAAATGCAAGTTTCACGATGTTATATGTCTCTCACTCTCAGTTTTTCTATCTCTTTCTCTCGCCTTCTCAGTGTATCTGTCTTTTTGTCCAGTTTTTTACAGCTAACCAGCGTGATTGAGTTTGTATCTCACATACTTTATAAAATTTCATTGTAAATTTAACTAGGTCACTTAAAAAACAATGAAAATCTATATGGCTCGTACATATAAAAACCAAATTCTAGAAAGCTGATTAATTTACACGCTAGTCACACAATCTTTTGTATTCACACATTCTTATTCACCGTCTAGAAAACGTCGCTGAGTTATTGTTATCTGGCTTTGATTTAATTTGTGTCTGAAAGTTAACAAAACATTGTAAATAAACAAACATCAATCTATAATCGACGCATCAATATGCCATTTGGTAAATCAAATAAAAATCAGAAAATGCGAAATGCTAAATCAGACAGTGCACTTCAACAACCTCAATATGATCCGAAAACAAACCAGAAAATTGTACACGGATGTGTTGTATGCGCATTCGACAGAACTTTAGTCGATAATACACAACCAATCCAACAAGATAAACTTAGTGATTTATTAGTTTCACACCTGAACAAACGAAGAAGTCATAAAGCTCGACTACTCTGCCTACAAGATCATATGGCGTTTCAAAAGAAAAGTTTCTTATCGAAATCGCTATTTCATGATAAGGTAATGTATAAAGACATTGAACATTATTTTCTTTGTTCCGAATACCCAAATATATTTATGTTATCACTGAAGTCAGAAATACCAGGATCAAGTTATTATGAGACGTATAAGTGTAAAAATGTTGAAGACGCTAAGCGTTTGTGTAATATGGTATATGAAGCTTGTCAGCAACCTGATAAAACAATACACGATATACCACCGGTTTCTCATGCACAATCATTAGATGTTTCTTCACTGAAGTCAAAATCACTATCGCATATTGATACACAGACTAGTTCTGATGTAGTCAATAAAGCTTCACTTAATCGATCATTATCACAGAGTTTAAATGATGGTTGGGCAACACCAAAATTACACGATGATTCACCCATTCAGTCACCATTACAATCATCAATGCATTCGCCACTTCGTTCACCATTATTGTCATACCAGTCGCCTGTCCCAACACCGATTAATCAGGATTCTACGATAAAACCACTAATGGTAACACCTGTCAATACAGATAATACTGCAGCTTATGTTTCTGGTGAAGTTGATGCTGTTGACATGAAGAAAAATACAACATATTTTGATTATGATCCAGTTCATGGACCACAGATCAATGAAGTTGGACCTATCTACATGTTTATGGTGAGACATCCATCGCAACATGACATGCTTAATCTGATGAATGAACCATAGTTTCTGAAGGCGACTGATAAAATAAATGTCAGGATTCAACCTTAAAGGTGTTACTTTATAGGTTTAACAAAACTGAGTGTGGAAAAGTTTGAAGTTTGAAAGAAATACATCCACCTTTATATCAGTGACAACAGTAATTACTTAAGCTTTTTAAAGGTAATATGACATGTATTGCGTGTTTAATTCTCTGCTTTGATTTTGGTTTTGTCTCCTTTGTTTCTAAATGTTATTTCGTGTTTTCTTTTGTTACAAAAATTAAATTTGAGAATTTTATTTAACTACATACTTTAAGACTTTATAAAAATTGTTTATTTGACGTAATTATTCTTATTGTTAGACTTAGTAAAATATATAACGTTTATACATTTTTCCAGCATCTGATTTATTTCGTTAAGAGGTGGTGTAATGTTCACTTGTAAAGATGTAAGTTTAGGGTAGAAATTAGTCTTGTGTATACATGATTTACAGTAGTGAGATACATTGATATGACTTGAGGCTACGATTTATTCAAGATGGCAGGGGATAAAAATGAGTCTAATTAGATATACTGAAGAAATGTCTTCTTCAAATTCAAATGTTCTATTGGTTTATATTATATGCGACCATTATTTAATATAAAAGCATTTCAATACTATGCGCCATCCATGACTTACTAAATTAAATGTGTCATCCAGAAATATTAAATGACCAGCTTCACTTTCAGTTGAAAAACATTATTTTAAATAAGTGATAGATACCGCTCGTAGGTGTGGAAGAATATGAAAGTAGTAGATAATTACCGTTGTGAAGTGTTAGCAAATTTCGTGTTCTTAATATTCATGAGAATACAGTCAGATACTAAGTGCTTCGTTTAATGTTATTTAAGAAAGAAACGAGATAGTATCGTGTTATTTATTTCATACCATAAAATGAAGACTGGATGTTCAGTCTTCTGAACTGTAGTTATCTACTAATAGTGTTTGAGATTATCAACGCGATATGTAAGTCACTAGGCATGTACATACAAAAGGGTAATCTTATTTCCTTAATAAATTCATAAACTTCATACAAATTACTTGAAGTATTTTGATTTCCATCAGGTTACGTAACGGGCAAAAATGAATTTCGAAATAAACAAACGTTCTTATAAAACATTATTTGATAGTGGATTGTGGTAATTTCTTATTTCGAAGTAAGTGACCGAATAAACCATAGTTTTCATTCTAAAACTGATACAAAGTGATAAGTGTTACGAGGAATGAAGTTTAGTCAGGCAACTAGGTAGCTGGTAAGGAGATTGTATTACTCTGATTTATGCTGATGTGGAAAATGGAGTTGCGAAGATATACAACAGTTGAATATGAGTGAAAGTTCGACGATACAAACTCCTGCAACAAGTTTTTTCAGTTAATTCTGAAATACCTAGTTTTATGCAGATGAACTGATGATTTATTAAGCAATTAAGTTGTATTTAGCAAGGGGTGGTGACCACAGATAGCAGTGATACTAAGTTCTTTTAGTCATAAATGCAGTTAAAAATATAGATCAAGTTATTTAGGTGAGTAATGGTATTTCCAGGTGAACATTTTTAAGCTTAATTCAAATGAAGAATACACTGTATGCCGTTATTATGGAAGCTACAGAGCACAGTTTAGGCAAGTATGTATTTTTAGTTATTTCAAATTAAGTTGTTTACATTTACCCTCGTACACATAATCTCCTTATACATCTACAGTAACTGACTACTTAGCACTTACATTGATAATGTTATTAATTATTATCATGATTGCAAGTATCAGTCCACCTATTTGGGCTCTTATTCTTCTGACTACATTATTATCGAATGCCTATAGTGAATAATTGTCATATGTAGTTGTAAACTGTGATGAGAGACAAGCTCACATACAGACATTTGTTTAATTGAACAGACTGAGAAAATAGTTAAATCTGATATACTAGATATATACACAACTGTTTTTATTGTTACAGACTCCCAGTTAGTAGGTAACACATTTAACCAGTTGCCAGTTCGAAGAAGTAATTCCATGTGAGTCGTTATACCTCATTCCAACAATTTTTAAGTTTCTTAACTGCTGCTTAAAGCAGACAGATTTATGAATGTTTGAAAAAGCTTTGAACAAAATTCAACTCAACTTCGTGGTAAATAAACATATAAATATGAATTGCCTAAGTCTAAACTTTCTGACACATCATATAACAAGTTGGTCTGCTTGTTAACTAAAGACGGGTTATGGGCAACGTTGCTGTCTGGAAAACCAGTTATAGCATTAATTATTGAGACCCAAAAGTTTATACAGTAATGAATACACTTCTGTTCAAACAATACTGCAATAAGTTTTACTTGAGGACTGGAAGTAGACACAGAGCATGCTAACTGGTGGCATAACATACATTGATGTATTAAATGCCGCAGAAGTCAACTTCAGGAAAATTTAAAGGCAGACAGTGTTCTGAAATAAAGAAAATGTTTTATTATCAAATATTGGTTTTGTTGGGATTTTTTTTGATTGGTTGGAGGATTTCATCTCGAGCCCATACCAGTTAAAGAACCACTGGAAAACCTGGGAGTACTGGATAGCCGTTTCATCCTACTTTGGGATCCTTCAGGAGTACTCACCCACCGGGGTCCGAAACCAACACCTTCTGGTTACAAGGCGACCTCGTAGACCATTAAACCATTGAGAACCAGTCTAATAGCGATATAGCGTGACCACTAACTAATGTCATCGGCTAGTATCTATGCTCACACCCTACCTGCTGTACCCTTATAGTCATGGCTTCTAACTAGAACCCCGGGTAACTGCCTGAATAGGGCCAGTCGCTACCGAGCATCAGATCAATTTTCAAGTATTGGTTTTGTAATGATTTTGTTTGATTGGTTGGAGGATTTCATCACGAGCTTACATCAGTTAGAGAACTATTGGGACTTTTCATTATGATGGGATTAAAATGACATTTGTACCTAATAAATGTATGTAACTTGCGTAACGCTACCCTTTGTGAATCATAAAAATGTAAAATACGAAATTTTAATGAAATGAGAGGTCTAGAAAAACTCATACATGTGGATAAAGGGTATGGAACACTGAAAAAATGCATTCGTGTGAAAAATAACAACCGTGAAAGCAACTCAAAGAGTACAGACATACTGAAAATTCCTTTTACTTCAGGGACTGATGCGAAGCATAAAAATGAATTCACTGTTATATGAAACAAAGATATTTTCTGAAATACTATCTCACAGTAATGCTGTCTTGCCACAAAATGAGTTCCATAGATATTATAATTTAGCAAATTAGTTCAATTTAACTTCCATTCTAATTTCCCTAGTTTCAATTCAAAACATAAAGTGAACAGAGAAAAATGATTCACATAAAACTTTTGACATTATCTATAACCAGAATGTCAGCCAAAATGTGAATTTGGAATCGCATATTTAGAAGACCAAACTGATCTGAAAAATGGAATGTATTTGCGCTATACACTTCGAACAATCTGATCACACATTCACTTATCAAATCTATTTATATTTTAAAGTCCAATAAAGTAGACAAAATAATGAGAGATTTAAGAATAAGGTGGACAATAATTAACACCACCTTCGGTAATACGGTCAGATAAGGAATACCATGACAGGTTAAGGGTAACAATAAATTTAGACCAACGAATGTAAACGAGAAACACTGTCCACGACTTGACCTCATCAGGCTTTACTCTAGAATACATAAATTCACAGATATAAAACAATCATGATGATTTTTCAATAGAATGATAAGACAGTGTATAAAAATTGCTCCTTAAGTAGTACTACTTCTGGTAACAATAATAATCCTACTAGTAACAAAGATGAAACGTTGAGTGATTTGTGATAACCAAGATAATGTAAAGCGGTATTATTCAACAAAAAAATGTTCAGATACACGTTGCAGTAAGAGGCTAGAGAAAAAACAAATAGTCAGATTGAATAGTGTCAGGGTGGTAAATAAACCATTTTCTAATGAAGGTGGATAAGACTAGGGATCTGTGTTTTTCTAATTTCCTCAAATGTTCGTTCATGTGGCTACTGTTAAAGGAACAATTTTTATACACTGTCTTATCATTCTATTGAAAAATCATCATGATTGTTTTATATCTGTGAATTTATGTATTCTAGAGTAAAGCCTGATGAGGTCAAGTCGTGGACAGTGTTTCTCGTTTACATTCGTTGGTCTAAATTTATTGTTACCCTTAACCTGTCATGGTATTCCTTATCTGACCGTATTACCGAAGGTGGTGTTAATTATTGTCCACCTTATTCTTAAATCTCTCATTATTTTGTCTACTTTATTGGACTTTAAAATATAAATAGATTTGATAAGTGAATGTGTGATCAGATTGTTCGAAGTGTATAGCGCAAATACATTCCATTTTTCAGATCAGTTTGATCTTTTAATTACGATATCGAATTTTTTATAGCGGCTTCGCCGATATGACTCTGTGCATTCTTGGTTTACAACCGTAAGAATCATTTGAAATCATTTTAGTTATTTCGTGTTTCTGTAATCACCTGTGACCGTGTGTAAAGGAAATAGGGTATTTCTGTGTTTGCTAAGATGTTCAGTCTCCTATGAGATTTGTTGAATGAGTACGAAACGGTGTTATGCAGCAGTTTACTTGTTTTCTTGATGAAAATCTTCCTGGGAAACTTCATAAATATTCAAATAATATTTACACATAAATTATATATTCATAGATTTTCCTTAAATCTGTCGGGAATATATTAAATTGTCATTCTGAAAAGTGGTAATACTTCAAAGAGATTCTCAACAATTTATTCGACTTAAATGTTTTAAGAAAGCGGTATACGGAAAGACCTATTCGTGATAGTCTACTGCTCACTATCCAGGGTGCCAAGGTAAACCAAAATTTGCCATTGGTTCTTTAATGAAATGTTTTCGAGTTTGGAAACTATTACTGTTCATTCTCAAATATTTTAGCTCAAGATGGTAGATACGTGGTCATTTGGTCGGGCGAGGCATGGAATTTAAATAAACTTGTAAATTTGATTCAATCCATTTATGATAAGTCCGTTCAGTGGTTTACGAAATGGTTACCAACCCGACTTTTGGTTATGTTATTTTCACCAGGAAATTAGACGGGAGTATTTTGAAGTAGGGCTCGCGGAATAAATTTTAAACAGGTTTTTTAGAAGCTTTATTGCTCCTATGAGACAGTCATCGACAAATGAATGAGAAATATGAAAAAATGGGCTACTTAAAAGTCGACATCAGCTTAGAGTGCTATGTTGGTTTGGTACAGTCATTAATACATTCTTAAGAATTTCATGTTTATCAAGAAGCAAGTTACAAATTACCCAAAAATTTAAATTCTTTATCGTATAA